AAAAAGATATTTGGCGAATAATGAATAATGCATAAGAATAAATTGTTATAATTAAATTCTTCAATCGATTGGATGATGCGGACATTTCACTTCGATTTAAACGAAGTGATGGTACGAAAAGGCGGGAAAATATGTGACATGGTGTTCCCTTTTTGAGTAAAATGAAACATGCGTGGGAAGCGAGCGAGGCAGAGATTCCTTCTGAAATTTTCCTTGGATAATCTCCTCTAAACTCATCTGTATACCAGCGAAGTAGAAACGTGTACAACGCTTAGCATGTCAAACCAGTGTGAATATGACTGATGTAAAGATTCCTTACTACGTTTTAATTAAAAACGTAACTGAACTTGACAACAGAAGATTGACCTGACAGACAGCTGCAGAGACAGACAATTAGACAGACAAATAGACAGGCAGTCAGACAGACAGGCAGGTGGGCGGATGGATGGATGAATAGACAGACCGACACCGACGGACAGACAAAGAAACAAAAAGACTACACAGGAAAAGAGACTGAAAGATAGTCAGACAGACAGACAAAAGAGAGAGGTACATAGACAACGTGAATGACAGATGGACTGGAAGGTAGGTAGACAGACAGACAGACAGACAGACAGACAGACTAACTTACGCCTACCTCCTCCCCTGCAGTACCCCCACATTTTGTTCTTGTGAAAGTCTGGAGCGATGGCACACCATTTTTGTCCTCGTCGATTTGTGGCACAGCCATTGTATCTGCGCCGGTGATACGTGAACGGTACACAGCAGTAGCCGGTGGTTGTACGAAGTCGACATTTCCCTAATAAGCCAACAGGGTGTGTAAGACACGTTTAAGAGGCTTACAAACAAAGAAAGTCACTAAAAATGGAAAGAAACAGATCCAACCTGAAATCCTGTAGACATCATTTGCCCATGGTCCTCCTTTGCCATTTCTACATCTGTTTGATCGGCCATACTTTGCATACGTTCTAAGAGCCCGCGGCCCCGCAAAACACTGGCCGCCATGTTGAACTGCAAACCCATTATAACCATATCTCGCGGCCGCCAATGCGCATCTGGCAATGGCTTTCTTTCGTCTTTGGTAGTTTCCTTTAACAATTGGCAGTCTCCCTTCCAGTACTGGTGTAATAGCTCTACGAGATGTATCTTTGAAGCATCCGATTCGTTGAACTAGGAAAGGATAAATTTGCAAGGCAGATAGCGTGAAAAACGGGCTGTAAATTTTCACGAAAATCAACGTATTTGTGTCAAAGCTAAAACACTGATCTCCCTACTCAAAATTTGTCAGGTGCTCCGTGACTAACAAGCCAGAAAACAACTTAATTAGCAACAAAAAGTTCTGGAAGATGTTCGCTGGGTAAAAAGATAAAGGAACGGGATAAACATTTACGTCTGGACATTTCTTATAATATATGTTTTACACTCAGAGAGGCACAATTACTAAAAAAACAAAGAAACGAACAGATCAATCGGTACTTACTGGTAATATATGGAGTAATCTTGACTGAACGGACGGCTAGAAGCAACAAATAAGCATTTAGAAAATATGCTTCAAAAATTTTCCTTTTCATATAACAAGTACAATAGAACCTCTCCTTACAGAAACCTCTTTACTAAAGACAGCTCTATATAAAACACAGTTAACTTGGCCCCAGAGAAACCACAACTGATGCCATAACCACGTCTATAATACGAACACCTCCATAATTTAGACATCTCCATATTAGGTGCAGTTCAGTCAGTCCCACCTAAACTAGAATTCATATAATCCTTTTCTCTATTACACGGACACCTCCTGAATCATCATCATTTGTCTGTTCTCCTTGTGGAGAATTGGGCTCTAGGCTCTCCAGCTCCAGGTTACCCAGTCGTCCGCAGTCGATGCGGCCTCTACCCAGTTTCTTAGTCCTTTTTTCCTTATTAAAGCATCTCCTGTGCAGGGACAATAAACTCTGGCCCTTTGGAGTCCGTATTAAAGAGGTTCGACTGTGTTATCAATCAGTCCCGCCTGATATTACACTAAAGTATAAATCTGCTAGCGTTATATCACGAATGTCGTCCTGTTATTGGTTACACTACTGTATTCATTATCCACTGTGATGAAGATAGTGAGTGGCCTAACAATAGCTGTTACTGCAGTTGAACCTGCGGTCAAATATTCNATACACTTCGTCTAAGCCTACACCAAAAAGCCTCGTTTGCAACAATTTTCTTACCTTTTGGAGGACGGACAACAGGCTTGACTGGTTTAACTGGGCGACGTCCTGATAAGGAAACAAACAGTATATGAAACATTTCAAATTGATAAATTCAAGTTTGATAAATTCAACATAATGCTATTTCATGACAGTTTCAAAAAACGGACAAACGTTCTTTAAACTCGTGAAAAGGAGTCCAAGTCCTGAGAAAAGTTTCCTAAGATTCGTTTCTAAGAATCAAATAATGATAATGAAGCAAGCTTACGTTTGACGCAGTTGCCCCATTTTCTGTCTCGATCATAGTTGGGAGTGAGAGCACACCATGGTCGATTGTGATTCCTTCTTGTACAACTGTTATAACGACGGCCCTTGTAGATGAACGGGAACGAACAGCAATAACGCGAAGTTGTGCGTCTTCTGCAATTGCCTGTATAGTCATAATAACAACACATGTCAAACTGAGAGGCCAAAATTATCATAGAACATTATAGGCACGTAACGCGTGCAAAGGTCTACTCACTCTTTCGAACACATGCGCCTCTAAGTTCTAAATCATAATGACAATTTACAATTGACAAACAGAAAGCAGCAGAACGACATTTTCTGGTTTAAACCTTTAACACTAGAACACAAAACAAAATTCGCCAGACATGGAGCCCGTTTCTCGAAGGTCCTGAAAAGTTTTCCCACTCGGAAAGCCATAGCAAAATCTCAAACCTTATTATTAGTTTTACGGAGCTGTTTTACTCACATATTCATAATGTGAAAAGAAGTTCCCTTCAAACAAGAAGTTTCAGGCGTATACGCTTCTCTGTTTTTAGATACAGATTAACTAATAATGGCTTTGCAGGCCCGAAAGGTTCCCGGGGCTTTCAAGAAACGGGCCCCTGACCCAGATCTTTCTCTTTCAAGTGTAATCTACTAAAATGAACCTTAACGAGAAAATTTCTCTTACCGGAAACAACATACACATCATTCGCCCAAGGTCCTCCTTTGCCGTTTCTACATCGATTGGATCGTCCGTACTTCCTGTAAGTCAAGTGAGCTTTTGGACCTGTAGCACACCATCCTTGATGTTGGACAGCGAAAACTTTGAAACCAAACCTCAGAGCAACTAAGGCACATTTCAAGATAGCGTCAATTCTTCTTCGGTAGTAGCCTGTGACAAGTGGGTTACGGCCATCCATTTGTGGGATAGCTCGGCGACCTGTGTCTTTGTAGCATCCCAGTGATTTAACTGGAAAAGAAGAATGATGTAAAAAGATGTAACCAGAGAAGAGTAGTGCTATGCTAAAGCAGAAATATAGACATAGTATTTTACACATGGTATTTTTTTTAATTTCACTTCTCAAATTCAATAATTCGTCAAGTTTAAACAAAGGAAATCATGACCGTGACAGTGTTTGGATATCTGATATTAATTAACATAATTTTTTACGATTTTAATCCTCCGTTTTCTCCTTAGTTTTAGTCTCGATTGAGAAGATATATCAAACACTCAAGCCAGCGTTTAACCACATTTCCAAACACCTCGAAGTTGGTCAAAAATACTTCACTGCGCGTCTTATTTTCAACTCTTTTCTCGGCGTTGGAAATGTGATCAAACACGGTCTTTCGTGTTTGATTTATTACGTATTACGTAGTCAAAGATCGTGCTAAATGCAATAAAGCACAAGCATTTACTTACCTATCACTCCACTTGTAACTCTTATTGGTCTAGCTGCAGAAATAAAGAAAGTATTATAATAAAGTTCGTTTTAAAAATTTAAGAAAAAGCCAGCCACAGGACGTTTGTGTATGTTAACAAAATATTATAGAGTAAATAAACTTTAGAATATACACATACACAGTACGTTATACATAAAACGACTACTAGTAACCATACCTAATCTTTCCTCAGTTTTGCAAACCAGTTGAGTTTGGTCTTGCCAGGGTTCGTATTTTGGCTCGACTACGTCTCGCCAAGATACTCGTGGCGAGACCAAACGAGTCTGATATGTCAGGAAAGATACACTTACGTATTTACCGCACACAAATTTGGCAGAGAAACCAGTAATAGCAGGTTAGTGTCTAGATATCGCAGGAATTTAGAAACGAAGACAAGTCTTCTGATTGTGTGATTGCAAATTATGGCATGGTAATTACGGTAAAAGGCGAACAAAAACGCCTAAGACAAGTCTCAATGAACTACGTTGCGATATATTAGGTCACATTTAGGAACATTTATGCTAAATACCTAAGGAAGTAACATCCGCTAAGTATCGATAGTATCTCCTGTTATCCCCTAGTGTAATCTAATTCAAGCGTTTTGTAGTTAATTCTTATATCTCAGAAAGTATCTTACGTTTACTTCCACCCCTGCAGTACCCCCACAGTTTGTTTCTGTTAAAGTCAGGAGTGATGGCACACCATTTCTGTCCTCGTCGATTCGTGGCGCAGCCGTTGTATCTGCGCCTGCGGTACGTGAACGGTACACAGCAGAAACCTCTTGTAGTTCGATACCGACACTTCCCTAAAAAGGAAAGAAGAAAACAATTTTTTTTGGCAGTGATAGAGCATTTACTCTTTTTCTTTACTTTGAAGTAGCTTGAGAGAGGTCTGGACCCGAAACATTCCAAACTGATGACGTAGCTGTACACGTCTGTGATTGGTCGTTGTCAGGTTTTGAATTTTCGCGCGCAAGTAAGAACCAATCACAGACACTCTGTTGAGCTACGTCAGGATGGAGTCTTGCACGTTTCTCTGCTGTTTGGCAAACTAAACTTGCGAAAAGAGGGCCGTTTGGCAAAGTTACAAGGTAACTTTGACAGATACCTGACACTCTGTAGACATCATTTGCCCATGGTCCTCCCTTGCCATTTCTACATCTGTTTGATCGACCGTACTTTGCATAGGTTCTGTGAGCCCGCGGTCCTGATGCACACCAGCCGCCATGTTGGACTCCGAAGTAAAGGTAGCCACGCCTCGCGGTTTCCAAGGCACACTTTTGGATGGCCAGTTTTCTTCGTCGGTAGGGACCTCGTAAGAGGATACTTTTTCCATCCAGCTGGGGTATAGCTCTACGCCCTGTATCCTTGAAACATCCAACTTTCTGCACTAAAAATGTCACGAAGAAAACAACGTTCATTTAAAAAGGTCACAGTAACGCTAGTCTTTTGAGTTAGTCACGCAATCCCGCAAAAGAGTTCGTGACTAATGCAAGGACCTTCTACGTAGCTACAGTGAAGCTTGCATAGTGACACGCGTTTGCCTGGAGAGGTTGAATCTGGTTGGTCGAGAGTCCAATCTGCATAGAATATATTTGCATAATGAAGTGAAACTTGAGAAAATTACGTAGGTGAGGAAAGCAAGTTACTTACGTGTAATTCTTGGTGTGACTTTGATTGGTCGAACTGTTGGGAAAAATGACAGGGAAAATCATTAAGTGCACCCTTCGTGCAAATGTTGAGTCACTTGATATCAATTATAGTAGTAGTATAATGGATTTCATAAACTTAAATTGTCTGTCTCTAGCTTGTGAACAGGCTCCGGCTGGGAGGGTCTGACCGCGGCTGGAAGGGCTGAGAAAGAACTGGCTAAAAGTGAAGTGGCCGAGTGGGGATTAGTTTGGGGAGTTGGGCGTTGGCCCCTACTCTCTCTTCTACCCTCTTTCTACCCGCTTTTTCTTCGCCCCATCCTCGACTAGAAAGCCTGTCCACGGTCTAGTTTGTCTCATACTCAACTAAAACTCGTAGTAGCATACCTCAGAATGAAATTTGTAAGTTAAGTTGGCTAGTTAAAAAAAAGTCAATTAAAACCCGAGTACATTGATCTGAATTTCCACTCCTAATGGTAACAGATCTCACCTTTTTATTTCTGCCTGCACGGTAATTCTAATTATTCATCCCTGGCCTTGTCACACCTAACAGCAATTCTAATGACTCTGATAATTTATTCCTTCCTTTACAGTAATTCTAATAATTATGATAATATATTCCTCACCTCCTCGTCCTCTACACCAGCCATACATTTTATCTGCGTCATAATTAGGAGTGAGAGCGCACCAGGCACGTCTGGAGTTAGCTCTGGTACAACTTCTGTACCTTCTGCCGCGATAGATGAACGGGAAAACACAGCAGTTGTTGCGCGTGGTTCGTACACGGCAGGAGCCTAATAACGAATAGAGAAGCTTATTGGATACTGTGCATGCTCTATTTGGCTGAAGAAAGTGTTCCGTGTACACTATAAAAATGCTGAAAACTTGTGGTCCTCTAGATTGGCGTACTTATCTTTATCATAAAGCCAACGCATCTATCGTAATGCCAAAAAATACCGTGGATGTTTTGAAAAATTACGAGAAGTGAAAAAGTTCATGTTCATGTTCATGCCGAAAGTTTGCCGCAAAAGTTCATTTATACACTCAAGAAACAGTTAAGTTAACTTACCTCTTAGAACGTAGACATCATTAGCCCAAGGTCCTCCTTTTCCATTCCTACATCTGTTAGATTTCCCGTATTTGCGGTATGTTCTAAAAGCGTATCTCGCGGACGCACACCACCCCTGATGTTGTATCGCGAAAACTCTGTAGCCTCGTCTTAGTGCTGCGCCTGCGCACTTCTGAATAGCGTATCGTCTCCTGCGGTAATGTCCTTTTAGGAGACGACTTCTGCCTTCCAGGGTTGATATGGCACGTCGGCCAGTGTCTCTGAAGCAACCGAGGCCGTAAGCTGTAATACAGAAAACCATAGACTCATGAGATTCTACTCAATTGTGACAACGCATTTGATTTCGACTCCTTGGACATTTGCTTCTTTTGCCAAGTTTGTAGACTATCAAAGGCTTTGACAGAACATAACTCTTCAACAACTCTTGAAATTCTCAGCTTGCTATTATAGTAATTGTAAATTAGTTTCCATAAAATAGCTTAATTCACATTAAACCTTACCTATCACTCCAGTGGTGATTCCTACTCTTCGTCCTGAAAAAGAAGCGAGAAAAGACAGTGTAATACATGATCACTAGCACTATATATGTGAAATGTAACTGTTGTGAACGCAGAATGGAAATTACCCTCAGCAAATTAAATTATGGTAAGACTGGGAAATCATTTCTGATTTACCCATAGTTATTTTAAAAATTCAACCGTGAAACTGAAAACACAAAATTCCTAAGATATGACATCAGAACAAAGATATTAAGTAAATCGCTGCAGAGAGAACAAATTGTAATGACTGGTTTAGAAACTTTTGGAAGATACCACGACAGGTATTGAGAAGGCGTAACGCTCCTTTCGTGCACTTATATAATAACTTTCAATAAAACTAGACAATTATTTTTAGGTTTCCTCCAATGAAAATGTCATTTGGGTTTTGACTCTTTAAAGTCCCTTTAATGCTTACTTTACACTAAGGTCAATCTTTAAGATTAAACATCAGTTTAAAAGTACCTCGTGGCGGACGGACAACCGGACGAACCGGTCTTACCGGTCTCCTTCCTGAAAGACAAGTATAACAATACTGGTTACAGCAAAAGACTAAACTATCACTCCTTTGCTAACGCTCGATACATTATTTTCTACTGTAAAGTTGTGTCACCTTCAGAAAACAGCTGACAAAGATTTTCTCAATTTCACTTTATATACAGTTGAACCTGACGATTTCCAACTCTCATGTGAAACGAAAAATAGTTCGAAATAGCCGCTAGTATATGACTGAAGGGCAAATCCAAGGGAAAATGGTTTTGAGTTCGAAGAAACAAGGAGTAGCGGTGTTCAACTGTCTCTTAACTAAACTCAAAGGCATGGGAAAAACAAAGCCAGTCAACTTTGCACATACTTGCACAATTTCCCCACTTCTTGTCTCTATCATAGTTTGGTGTGAGAGCACACCATGGTCGATTGTGGTTTCTTCTTGTGCAACTGTTGTAACGACGGCCTTTGTAGATGAACGGGAAAGAACAGCAATAACGCGAAGTTGTTCTCCTTCGGCAGGAACCTGAAAAAAAGTGTAAAAAGAAATGTTTAGTATTACTAGACAACAAAATGAGTGAATGTCATGAGTGAATGTACATAACCTCAGAGGTAAATGGTTATATAACCAATCAGAGTGTCGTAGTCAACACATGTGACCAGCAAGAACCAATCAGAAAGCTGGATATTGGCATTTTATTCTTGTGTCATCTAGGATATCGAATGGAAGAATGGACCTGGTATAACAGTGGCCAGGGCGTGGCGAGGATGATTATTTTTTTTTTTTGAAAAAGCTAAAATTCTTCAGTTGCGATAGTGGACAACGAAGTTGAGCAATCCTATTAACGAAGCACAACTCTACAAGTATCTTTCCTACGGGTGACAGCCGAGTAGGGCAAATGTTTATCTACAGTGCTACCTGCGCTAATGGAAGTAAAGGAAGTCGCCAAAGCGTACCCACTCTAAGTCCTACTTCACTTTAGACAGGTAAGGACAAGGCCCTCAAAGACAGCAAACGAGATTGCATACAATTCAAACGCAAAAGCAAGTGAAAGGAGCTACGTAACGGTTTGCACAACTTGAAAAGTTTAGCCTAAATTTTTCAAGTTCTTCGTTTGCAATCCGTAATCTGCTCCTTCCTTAACCATTCTTGCTCTTTTACGGTTTAAAACTGTCTCTTCGATGTTTTGCTATCTTAGTTAGTAAATGATTATTTTCAGGTTTTCTTCGATTTAAATGTAATCTTGTATGTGACCAAAATAACTCAAAATACTGTGACTGAGCTCCTTTAATTTTAGAGAGAAAGGTTGCAAAGAAACTTTCGAAGACCTACCGGTAATACTGTACACATCGTTAGCCCATGGGCCTCCTTTGCCGTTTCTACATCGATTGGATCGTCCATACTTCCCGAAGGTCATGTGAGCTCTTGGGCCAGTCGCACACCATCCTTGGTGTTGCACAGCAAAGAATCTATAATTGCGCCTCATGGCTTCAAGTGCGCACTTAAAAATGGCGTCGGCTCTTCTTCGGTAGAAATCCCGAACGAGGATACCTCGACCATCCATCTGAGGTATGGCTCGACGGCCAGTGTCTCGGAAACATCCAATGGATTTGACTGAGGAATAAAACCAACGAAGTGATTAAATTCTTTGAAACATTCTTGATAAAATAAAGTTTTCACTTAGCAAGGTGAGCTCATGTACTTACTGGTAACTCCAGAAATTCTAATAGGAGCAGCTGCCGAGAAAATGGAAAACAAAAAACTTAGTTTAGTACTTCTAATGTCATCAATGGGGATGCAGCAATAACGAGTAATACCTCAAATTCAGAAAAATCCCTGGGCATGGTTTTGCTCGCAGACCTTTTTCCTAGGGTGGAAGAGTGCTTATTTTCTGCATAACTGACAAAATTTGTCGAATCAACTCAAGCCAAGTTTTATCCTTGGTACCTCAATGGGATCAATAGTATCTGAATGGTAGTGTTTACATTAGGAAGCTGGGTTAGAGATCGTGACAGACAAAGAAAAAAGTCATCACTTACGCTTTCTTCCTCCCCGGCAGTACCCCCACAGTCTGTCCTTGGAGTAGTCTGGAGTCAGTGCGCACCATCTCTGTCCCCGTCGATTCCTGGCGCAACGGTTGTATATGCGCCCGCGATACCTGAACGGGAATGCACAGCAGTTTCCTTGCGTCGTACGCTTCCTGCATTTACCTAGAAAGTGTATAGGGAAGAAAAAAACTCAAAACCCTAATTCTACAAAACATCAAAGATTCCACAAAACTCGCGTCCAAACCTGAAATCAGGTAGACATCATTCGCCCATGCTCCTCCTTTGCCATTTCTACATCTGTTTGATCGACCATACTTCCCATAGGTTCTGTGAGCATGCGGTCCCGAAAAACACTGGCCGCCATGTTGGACTCCAAACACTCGATAGCGTCTCTTGGCTGCTTCCATGAGGCATTTTTGGATGGCATAACGTCGCCTCTGGTAGTTACCTCTAAGAAATCGGCTTTTACCCTCAAGAATAGGGATCGCTCTGCGCCCTGTGTCTTTAAAACAGCCAAGTCTCTGGACTAAAATTTAAGTAAAAAATTCATGATTAAATACGTATTGCGGAAAAAAAATAAAGCATTTGGCAAAACGGTATTTTATAAAATTACATTCCGTTTAGAAACTTTGAAGGAGTTTTTGTCTTTAAAAAAATGGTTCAAAATCGTTTCGGGCATAAAATTTATTTAGTATAGAGATTTATTCACTTCATCTTAAGATGCTGCTCGCAAATTTGAGCTCATTACATTTTCCTGGTTAATGTGTAACCTTTTTAATTTATTTTAAGCTCTTATCTATCTCTTTACTGTCTTAAGGAGAGAGAAAGAAATAAAATGGCTGCAATCATCATCTTTGTAGGCCATTTGAAGAAAATAAACTTAGTAGTTAATGGTTACTATCTTTTACCTCCTATATTTATTTTTTAGTTTTTTAAATGTTTAAATTCAAACCAAAATTTTTCATTTCAGCCACCTACCTCTCAATGACGGTGGCACTCTTGGTATAGGTCGTCCTGCAAAGATAAAGGAAAACAGTTAGCTTTAAAA